TATATTATATAAAGCATTTGTTGGAATTTGAATCATTGGGCCCTAATTGCATTGATCCAGTAGTTCGGATATCGCTTACACCCTTCGCTCGTGCTGGCATGGATGGCCACATCTCGAATATGGTTGTACTTAGTGCATATATGTCCTGAAACATGTAGACGTGTATGTTGCAACTATGATACTTTATGTACTTATATTTACATATGTTGTGTCTGTGTGTGCGTGTGTGTTTGGGTTATTGTACATGCAGTTGTTTGAATTTTGAAAATATATCATTGGACGCTTTAGGGTTTTAGGGTTTCATGGTTTTAGGGTTAAGGGTCATACACTGGTGGATGGGTACACAAATCGCCGTCAATCCAACGAGGCAGCCTTAAGAGCGGCTGCGCCTGGCACGATCCATTATACCTACATGTGGCCTTTTATTGAGTATACATATGCACCTGTTCTTTTATATCTGCACGTGTGGATTCAATATATAGGTCTGGAGGTGAACGTACCATGGGATTGTCTGCGTTTATTGTGTGCTCAAAGGGTAGTATGCTGTGGGGTTGTACACATTTATGTGCGCCAGTGAATTTCTGGGGGTTTGAAAGAACACATGACTATGTTTTGTAAATGCATTCGTATGTAGTAAACCCTAAAACTCAAACCCAGATATCAAATAACACAAGTATGGTCACTTCTCATTATGGCCTCCCTATCTATAGAATAAGGATCATTCCATTTTTAACTTTACATACACTCCCCAATACTTACGCTTGTACACTAATACCTATACTATCACCCGATATTTTCGGCTTGTACTTATACTGTTATATATCAGGCCACAAAGCCGTAACAGTACACGATTTCGAGACGGCCATAGATCGAGTAGTCGGTGGAGTTGAGAAGAAGGCTATGGTTATGGACCCGAAAGAGAAGGAGGTCATCGCACACCACGAGGCAGGCCATGCTGTACTGGGATGGGTGTTGGAACACACCGAGACAATCCTCAAGGTATTGTGTATACATATTTATACTC